AATGCCAACGAGACGGTTTTCTGCAGAATTTCCCAGAGAGGGACCCAGCGTACTAAAGATCCAGCTGGCAGAGCCAGGAGACTCAGCAGCATACTTCTGTGCCAGCTCCTTGTCCACAGCAATGCAGAGTCACATCCTCCTGGTGCAAAACACCCTGCAGGCCCCGCCCAGACTCACCCCAGATGCCCGTGGGGTGGAAAAAGGAGATTCCTTATCTCACGGTGAGCGAATTGGCTCTGCCGCATTTTGCAGATTGTAGAAAGGTCATGGTACATCCCAGCCCATGCTGAGGAACTAAGACCCTGTCACCCAAGAGACATGACAATGCTCAACAGCCTGTATTTCAACAGCAATATGTAATATGTGTGTAAAGGTTAAACACGTTTTGACCAATGTAACTCTTTCTTTCACTCCATACCATGTACCAAGTTCTATACTTCATGATTTACGTAGATAATTTTACTTAATCACCAAAGCAATCAAGCAAAGAAAATAGTTTCTTCGTATCACCATGAGAAATTATGGTTCCCGAAGTTTCCTTTCTTGAAAAAGTAAAAGAAAATTCTAGTGGGTGACAGAGATAGAATTCAAAACCAGGTTTGTGTGGCACATGGTTTATATATGAATTTGTGTAGATACCACCATTAAGAACTCTGCTACAGACATAGAGAATATATAAACGATGGTGGAAATAGATAAATTTTGGTGGGATAGAGAAGAATAAGTTGGCCCACAGGTATTTTTCACTAGAAATGTATCACTTCAATTCTTTTGTTATTTCAGTGACTTTTTTAAAAGAATTCTTATCACTCAACAAATGTTGGGAACTTACAGAAAAGTGTTATTATTATTTGCTTTGATGAGATCATTTAAAAAAATCAAAAAGCAGACAAATGCAAAGTCATGTCAAACACACATGTAGCAAGTTAAGTCCAACCTCCCAGCATGGAATGCAAATCATGTTACTCCACTGCATTGTTTAGTTTTGTTTTTCTGTAATTATTTCCTGCCTTCCCATGACACACCTGGGAGGAAGAAACCCAGAAAATCTACCAGGGAGGGACTTGAGAGATCCTGAGTCAGACCAAGCTGGTACCACAGGAAAGGGGGATTTCAAAGTCTTCCCCACTTCAAGCTCTAGGCATTCAAAGGGGCAGTCTTCCCAACATGGCCTTCTGAGGGAAGAAAGAGGGCAATAAGGAAGATTAAAGACTTTCTGGCAATTGGATAGTGAAGAATGAAAGGAAATAAGGAGTTCTTCAAACAAAAGAGAATCACAACATAAGAGGACTTACAACCATGCCCATCAGGAAAACAAATGAAACTTAATAAAATGCCTGGGCTTTGTTAGAACAACAGAACACAATACCATCCAGCTAGGAAGATTGTAAAACATCCCTATAACACTAAAATGAACAAAAGAAAAGTAAAATCATAGAATAAAGGACCTCCTGCCACCGCCTCTGGCCCCTTACTCAAAAAAAAAAGGGGGATTTCAAAGTCTTCCCCACTTCAAGCTCTAGGCATTCAAAGGGGCAGTCTTCCCAACATGGCCTTCTGAGGGAAGAAAGAGGGCAATAAGGAAGATTAAAGACTTTCTGGCAATTGGATAGTGAAGAATGGAAGGAAATAAGGAGTTCTTCAAACAAAAGAGAATCACAACATAAGAGGACTTACAACCATGCCCATCAGGAAAACAAATGAAACTTAATAAAATGCCTGGGCTTTGTTAGAACAACAGAACACAATACCATCCAGCTAGGAAGATTGTAAAACATCCCTATAACACTAAAATGAACAAAAGAAAAGTAAAATCATAGAATAAAGGACCTCCTGCCACCGCCTCTGGCCCCTTACTCAAAAAAGAAAAAAAAAAAAGGTTCAGAAGAAAATGGAAGTCTACATGGCAAACAGAAGCAAATGAATTCAAGTAAGCAGCTGAGGATGAAAGTCACCTGTAGCCAGAAACTCAAAAACTAACAGCAGAAATAAAAACAGAAAAAAAAATAAAGAAATTAACTGAACTCAGAAAATAAATGAAAGAAAAAAATCCCAAAAGTATCCTGAAAACGATGAATAGATTTAAAAATGCTCAAGGGAGAATAAACCAACTGAAAATTTAGTAAGGGGCATGGAAAACAGGCAGGGAAACCACAGAGAGAATGAAAATAACATAATGAAGTAGAACCAACTAGAGTGAAGGTGGGTGAGGGGACACAAGGCATGGCGGGAAAGGAGATGGATCAGTTGTGGGAGCTTTCAGGGAGCTGAGTCCTTGTGCTTATTGTCACAGATGCTTCTGTTCAGACCCGAGAAGTCACGTCTTTCCTGAGTGAGTGGGTGGCATTCAAAATTAAGTCTGCATTCTTAGGTAACCAGAGTGTCTATAGTGCTCCTGAAGTAATCAAAACATTAGAGTAACTGGAAAGGTAAAAACCAATGAGCCAATCAGAGAGAGACTGGCCTCAGAAATGTGGGTGCCAGTCCTCTCAGCCCAGAAGCAATGCAAAGCAATGGCAGTGTAAAGGACTCAGTTCTCTGGCCTGTCTACTCATTTGCAAAATTAGGGAGCTCTTTGTGAATGTCTCCAGGATTCTCCTTGTTCATTCTGCTGTTCATTCTGGCGTCCTGACCCACTCCATGCAGAGGGAGCTCTAGAGCTCAGCTTCGTTCCTCATTTCCCTTCCAAGGAGAGCTTAGAGGTACAGGGACCTTCCCACTATGGGCAGCCATGTGCTGTGCTGGGTGGCCTTCTGTCTCCTGGGAGCAGGTAAGTCCTGGGTTCAGGAAGCATATTCCTGCTCCAGTGCTAGGTCTCCCCTAGTGATGCTGCACCTTCCTGAACTCTTTCCAAGGGTCTTTCTCTTTCTTCCACAGGAACCACATGTGGTAGTATCACTCAGACCCCAAAATACGTGCTCAGAGAGGAAGGGCAAAGTGTGAACCTGGAATGTGAACAGAATTTGAATCACGATTCCATGTACTGGTACCGACAAGACCCAGGGGAAGGGCTAAGACTGATCTACTACTCACTAGTAGTACGTGATATTCAGAAAGGAGACCTAGCTGAAGGCTACAGCACTTCTCGGGAGAAGAAGCCATCCTTCCCTCTCGCAGTGACATCCACCCAAAAGGACCACTCAGCTCTCTATCTCTGTGCCAGTAGTCTAGGCACAGTGAAGCACAGGCCCCTCCTCTCTGTACATGAATGTGTCCCCAGATCCTGTTTCCCCCTACCAGGTGGCTCTTTTGCACATAGTCCTTGCTATCTCTCTCTTCTACCTCAGCCAAGTGCCCATAGCAGCTGCTGGCATCAGTGTATTTTGTGGGTTGTCAGGAAGCTTAGTCATTCACTAAGTTGGTTTTAAAAGGTATATGAGGGATCTTCAAAATGTCCATAGAAGAATGCATAAAATGAAACAAACAAACAAAAAAAGCTGTCCTTGGATTCAATTTTTTTCCACCAAAATAAATTTATACTTTAATGCTACTTTTCACACACTTGTTGAAGCCCACTCATGTGTGTGTGTGTGTGTGTGTGTGTGTGTGTGTGTGTATCTCCTAAGCATGGGGAAAGCAGGAAGACAAAGATAGGTAGAAAAGAGAGAAGAAGAGTTTAATCTTACAGCCTAACACTTTAAAAAATCGTCACTTAGAACATTGGAAAATAACACCAAATGCTTGTTTCCTTCAGAAAAATATTAAAAATCTAATGGGAGAGAAATGTGTAGAAAAAATATTGTTAGGGCCAACAGATAGCATAATAGATATGTCTTTTGGACTCCCACATAGTCAACTGTGGTTCAAGTCTTGGATCTGGCATCTTAAAAACACACTGGGTGCATGTGCATGCATGCCCAAGATTCTGAGATGAAGATGGAGGAGAAGGGATTGTGGAATGGCCATCACCCCTGTAGTGTGATTTCTTACTTTCTGTCTCTCTGCCTCTTTCTGTCTCTCTGGCTTCAAACCAAAGGCAAAATTTGGGTCCAGCAGTTGGCATAATGGCTATGTTGCTGAACTCCCATGTAGTCGACCACAGTTTGAGTCCCAGACCTGGTGGCTTAAACTCATGCTGGGCGCATGTGCATGCGTGCCCAAGATCCTGAGAGGAAAATGGAGGAGAAGGGATTGCGGCGTGGCCATTCCCCCTGGGGGGTGATTTCTCACTTTCTGTCTCTCTGTCCCTCTCTGTCTTTATGGCGAGCACACACGCCCTATAGCAAAAACCTCTCCAAAAAGCAAGCAAACAAACAAACAAAGGCAAAATTTGAGATGAATTGGATTGATGCACTGATTTCATTAACTGTACAGGCCCCAAAGTGTAAGACAGGTTTAGGGATCTAGGGAAGGAAAAAGCAAGGAGATAATATCAGGGAAAAAGAAAATAAATTCTCCTTCTCCTGCCAGAAAGAATTTCTGGAGACTTGCAGAGTCCCTGTCCAGAATACACACAAACCTTGGCTCCATGCAGTCTCTCTGAATTCTTTCTTGGAGTCTATATTTAGCTTTAGATTTCTCCTCCCATGTGTTTTTGAAAGTTTGACTCACTCTGAGTCACACAGAGACTGAAATACTAAGATACAGAGAGGGAAGAAACACACTCAGTATCAGACCTAAGGAACTCGTTATACCATGTATCATATCAAGATGATATGAGTGCTCCAAGCCATCATGGAAGATGTTCCTTGATGATCAAAGGAGACCACCAGAAATGCAGTGGTTCTAAGTTGCTTCACCTTGGATGTCCAGATCATGTTCATATATACCTCCATATCAACCATCCCCTCAGCCAGATAATGTCACCATAGACCTCTGGCAGTGGGAGAGACATAGCACCACAGAGACATTTATTCTCTGTGTACATGTGACTCTGCAAGGTGATGGGATGGGGTGAGACAGTCCACAAGAGAAAGAAAAGCAAAGGGTGAACAACAGTAGCAGATAGACCATCTTGTTTTTCCTTGGTATCCGAAACTTGCCTAGAAGGGACACAAATTTCTCCTTTCAGTTGAAGAATTTATAAAGCAAAGTGTATGAACTTAAACAGACTCCACAAGTTCCTCTGTAAAACTATTGAGCCTTTTTTTCTCTCTCCTAAGTATAATCCTAATGCTAAAAAGAACACTACAGCTATGAGCTTTTATTATAACCTCCATTCTCACAGCCAAGTCGTTAGAGGATATTATCTGAGGTGACAGACAGGAAACTTGAAAAACATAAAATATCTCTAAATGTTTTCTTAGCAAATGTTCAGAGGCCACCTATTATTAAAGGGATGATTTATATAAAATTAAAATATACAATTATGATTTTTTGAGCATAATAAACATAACTGCTCAGTTTAAAGGCCCATTGAATATAATCAACCATATATTAGACAAGTCAGTAAGTCAATTTGTTTACTCCACCTAGAAATAGTCTAGAATTCTTAGGAAGCAAAATGTGTTGTATAACATGTGAGGAAGAGTATTATCACAGAGCTTCATTTATGACGGCTCCAAACCTGAAAGCACCCAACTGTGCATCAGCAATGCTATGGAAAAATAGATTATGTTACATTTATATAACAGAATGCAATGAAGAAAGGACATCAGATGAAATTCTCAACATGGATGGATAACATAAACATAGTCATACACAAAAATAATATATACCATATGAAGACAGAATAGTGGTTGCATTTGGGAGCTTTATTTTATTAACTTTGAAGGAAGCATGAGGGCAATTTGGAGAATTCTGAAAATATTCTATATCTTCATCTGGGTGGTGGTTACATGGTACTATATTTGAAAATTTCACTGGGCTGAACTTAAGATTTGTGCAGTCTATTATTTGTACATTGTATCTTACTTAGAAAGTTTAGAAATGATGACAGTTACATCTCCTGATTATCTATTGATGTGTACCAAACCAGCCCAAAACTTGGTGATTTAAAATAATGATTCATTATCATTGCTCATGGCTCTGTATGTTGGATGGGCTCACCTATACAGTTCTCACTTAGGCTCCTCATGTAGTTGCAGCCAGATAGTTCACTGAAGCCACAGTATCGGAAGGCTCAACTGGGTTGGACATCCAAGGTGGCTTTCTCATGGACGTGTCTGGATCTCACCTGGGATGGCTTCAGGAAAGGATGATGGAACAGCTGGACATCTCTCACATTCTTTACACATTCCTGTAGTGTGATTAGGTGGGATTTCTCCTCCAAGGAGCTGAAGTATTTACATAGTAACTAGCTTTTCCAACAGCATGCATTCAAAAGACACTGGTGCGATCTACAAGTCTACTTATGGCCAAGCCCGAAAAACATCCAGTGACACTTCCACTGCCACATTCTGGCCAGCTCAGATGCAAGAAAGAGGACTCATAGGACTGTCAACACTGGTGGTGTGTTTGGAGCGACAGTTTTGAAGACTGGATACCATATTAGGGTAATTTGAATCTTTAGCCATTATTTGGTGATATCTTCCCCCCCACACACACACACACACTGTTCCTTTTACAACAAAGTCCTTTGAGATGATCTCAGTAAACTATTCAATTTTTCAAAAAATATCATTTGTCCAGTATTTATTCTTCTGCCCTTTTTTTTGGGGGGGGGGGGTTTCCTTATTCTTTAGGTGGTATTTTATACACAGCATATAATTCACTTTTTTCAGTCTTATGAGTTATACAGTTAGAATGTTCAGTCTGTTGTTTTTTAATATAATTCTATATAGTTTTATGTAGCATGAGGTTATAAAGATATTTGGGTTTATTTCTTTTACTTAATTTTACGTGTTTATTTTTATCACATTGTGTTTATTTATTTTTTTTCTTTTTTGAGAGGTTTTTGCTACAGGGCACATGTGCTCGCCAGAGAGACAGAGAGACAGAAAATGAGAAGTCACCCTCCAGTGGGGATGGCCACCCCCCTCTCCTCCATTCTCCTCTCCGGATCTTGGGCACACATGCACACACGCCCGGCGTGAGTTTAAGCCACTGGGTCCGGGACTCGAACCATGGTTGACTACATGGGAGTTCAGCAACATAGCCATTATGTTAACTGCTGGCCCCCACATTGTGTTTTTGCTTCTGCCATTTATTGCCTTGTTTTGATTATTTTTTCTCGTTTCATTATTTTGCCTCCCAGAACTACAGACTCCATTTTTATTTCCTTGATGAAGAATCATAAAATTGTATCACAGAATTACATCACGTTAACAATATCTAAGACTAGTCTTATTTTCACTCTTCACCTGAAGAATACATGAACTTTAAAGCAATTAACACTTATTGGTCCCTAGAAGTCTTTGCCTACTCCAATGTCTCCCAGAGTTTCCCCAGCATTTTCCACAAGTAGTTTTATTGTCTGAGGTCTTAGGTTCAGATCTTTGATCCATTTTGAGTTGACTGTTGTTAATGGTGAAAGATGGGGGTTCAGTTTCATCTTTCTGCAGGTGGATACCCAGTTTTTCCAGCACCATTTACTAAAGAGGTTTTCCTTTTCCCAATGGATTGACTGATATCCTTTGTCAAAGATCAGTTGGCTATAAGCTTTGGGAGTTATTTCTGGGGTCTCTATTCTCTTCCATTGGTCCACATGTCTGTTTTTATGCCAATACCATGCTGTTTTGATGACCACAGCTTTATAATATATCTTAGGATCAGGGAGTGATATGCCTCCTACTCCATTCTTCTTACGCAGGATTGCTTTTGCAATACGAGGTCTTTTATGGTTCCAGACAAATTCTATAATTGTCTTTTCAAGATCTCTGAAGAATATCTCTGGTATTTTGATTGGAATTGCATTAAACATGTAGATTAATTTGGGTAGACTTGCCATTTTGATTATGTTAATTCTACCAATCCAGGAGCATGGGATGTCCTTCCACTTTTTTATGTCACTTTCAATGTCTTTTTTAAGATTCTCGTAGTTTTCTTTATAAAGGTCTTTGACTTTCTTAGTTTCTAAGACTAGTCTTATTTTCACTCTTCACCTGAAGAATACATGAACTTTAAAGCAATTAACACTTATTGGTCCCTTCCTGGTTTCCAGTATTTTAGATAGCCAAAATTTTAGCTCTGTACAACTATAATAATTAGAAGTATTATTGTCTTAGCACTATTTAATTAGTCACTTTTCTATATGCTTATAATCATCTGTCTTTTTTTACATAAATCTTTAGTATATATCAACTCCAAGTAGAAAGAGGCTCCATCAGGCTCTGTCCCTGCCCTGTTAAACATGTTTCTTTGATGAATGGTCTTGATTCCCCATAGCAGATATATCCTGGGCAATGATGTAGAACCCTACGGTGGCTATAAGATTCCACCACCCAGGCTCTTCTAAGCCATAGCCCTGTGACTCCAGAGCTCTCACTCTAACGTCTATCTTCTCCAACAGCCGTTGTAGATATGAAAGTCCCCCAGACATTAAGAAATCTGGCTACATGAGTTTAAAAATAGAAAAGAGCTGACATTGAAACATTCTTAGAAAATGAGGAATGACAGGATGTATTGGCTGTGGACAGATGCAAGGCTTGGGCTATTGCTAATCCATAATTCATAGTGGATCAGCCAATAATGGTAAAATAAATTATATCAGAGTATAATCAGAAAAAAAGCCTAATATGAGCATTAAGAAATTTTAAAAAATTATTTCTTAGAACTAGGATTGATACAATTTGAGAAAAAGTTAGACAAATATTTCAATAACGGATCAGGAAAAAAGATACTTCTAACTTAGCTCTGGTGAAGGTGGACAAGCTGGGGTTTGCATTAAATTAGATATGTCCTCAATACCACATGGAACCATGAAGGCACGGGTGCAGGACTCTCTGGGAGACAGCAGACTCCCTAGTAGACCATAGGGTCATGTCTGATGCTGGGTTTGGGGCCTCTCTTAGTCAGCAGGGCTGGCAGGCCTTAGGAAGAGCTGAACATAGAGCAGGAAAAGGTCAGCGTTAAGTGGACCCCACTGGCACTTTTCTGTGTGTGCATGTTTTTTTAATTAACTTTTTTTTTTTAGAGAGAGAGATTTTTGCTATAGGGCACATGTGCTTGCAGGAGAGGCAGAGATATGAAAAGTGATAAATCAACCCCCAGGGAAGTGGCCATGGGATTTTGAGACACATGCACATGCACCTGGGGTGAATTTAAGCCACCAGGTCCAGGACTTGAACCACAGTTGACTACATGGGGGTCCAGTGACGTAACTATTATGCCATCTGCTGGTCCCTCCACTCACATTTTTGGCCCTATTCCTCTTTGCCTCAGACCCCGGTGATGACTTTAGAGCACAGTGGCAGCTGTCTCACCTTCTTTTTACAAATTTTATACATTTCTTCCCCCTGTAATCAACTCTAAACCAGAACTGTAACAGGAATGAAGTGCTCTGAAATGTATTTCCTGCTTAGCTAAGTGGATGTGGTAATAAAGCACCACAGGAATATACCTAAGAGCTAGTGTTTTTCAGAAGGAACAGGAAGATTTTCTTCTGATCCCAGGGCTTCCAGCTGCTTCCTCTTAAACATAAGACATTGAGCCAAAAGTCATCAATAGCAAGTGTCCTGCTCTTTGCAGAAGAAGCACAGTTATAGTGTGAGGTGGTCCCTTTTAAGGAGGCACAACACAACCAGGGAAATGCAGGAGTACACAGATGTCCTCAGTAGATACACAAATACCAACATAGTTCTATTTGTTATGATAAAAAAAAACTATTTCACTATAGTACAAATGTATTTGATGGGCCAAGTTTTGTGTGTGTTTATTTATAAGCCAGAATATGTGTGTGTTCCCCAGAGAAAGAGAGACAGAGAGGAAGAAGGACAAAGCATTCTCCAGTGGGGTGCAATCACACCACAATCCCTTCTCCTGCATTTCTCTATCCTGTCAGCATTTGGGGATGTACTCACACACATCCAGTGTGTTTTTCAAGGCATCAGTGCTGGGATTCAAAACACTGTCGGCCATGTTGGATCTAACTCTTAACCACTAGATCACAGGGCCAATATGATAGGCCAACTTTTAATTCTGCCTTTTTTAACTACCCGCCATAGAGAAATAGAACTCAAAAAAGTAAGTGAAAACTTAATCATGAAACTGTTATAGAAATATAAGTATAGTGCTTTCAAAAACTTTTCCTCCTTTTTGTAATCACTGTACAATTACTGACTGTAATACTATTTAATACTCAACATAAACTCCTTTCCTTATAAGAAACTCACTTACATCATTTCAGCGCTGTAGGTTTCTGTATCTTTCCACATTTGGAAGTTGTATTGGGACCTCTCCAAGGTCTCCTTAAGCAATATGAGAGTCTTTGATTGGGAGATGGATGTAGCTTCAATCACTGGCAAACATCACCACCAGGAGGCAGACTGGAGCATCTTTAGGATTATGTCGTCAGTCATCCATGGTCCAGGAGGCTCATAGCCCTGGATAAGCAGAGCTGGTAAGACCTCTCCAGAAAAGGAGGAAAGGTGGGATGAAGCCGACGCTGAAGATGCTGATACTTCTGTTGCTTCTGGGGCCCAGTATGAACCTAATTATATCGGGGGCTTAAGCGGGTGTGTGGGTGTTGGCATGGCAAAGTGATGGCCAGGCACTGTGGATTGTTTATGCTGATCAAAGTCAGAGGGAATATCTGTGTTCTCTGGTGTAAAGGGTAAGATGAGAGTTACCAGCCAGAGAATATGGGGGAGATGGGTAAATATGACCCCAGAGAATCTGAGAGGAAGATTGCACAAAACAAGTAGGAGTTTCCAGGAGCTGGGAGAAAGGCGAGGCTGTTTTGTGCCTAGGCTCCTTGACCTCTTTCATCTCTCTGACCTCTGCAGGCTCTGGGCTTGGTGCTCTTGTCTCCCAACATCCCAGCAGGGCCATCTGTAAGAGTGGAAAATCTGTGAAGATTGAGTGTCGTTTCACGGACTTTCAGTCCTCGACTGTATTTTGGTATCGTCAGTTCCAGAAACAAAACTTCATACTGATCGCAACGTCTAATATGGGCTCCAGTGCCACATACGAAGAAGGTTTTACCCCGACCAAGTTTCCCATCAGTCATCCAGACCTAACCCATTCAACTCTGATGGTGACAAGCGAGCATCCTGAAGACAGTGGCTTCTACTTCTGTGGTGCTAGTGACACAGCGCTGGGTGGAGATCAGAGAACTCAGCAAGAACCTCTGCTACAGCCTCCTCTCCCTGCCCCCTCGGGCTCATGGATACCTGTGGAAGGAGGAGTAGAGACCGGAAACCACAGATTCTCTGACTGAGACATCTGGGTGTGTGTGTGCAAGTGGAGAGTGAGAGGAAGGAAAGAGAATTTGAGAGTGGAGCAGAGGAGATACAGTGTCTGAGATTAATGGGAATAGACTTGGGCCTACGAAGTGGTCAACCACACAGAAAGATCCCCGAATTATAAAATGGGATTTGTGCCCTGACTCTGCCACATATTCTTGGATAAATCAATGGGTAACTCCATATGAAGATCTGAAGACTCTTCCATAAATCACTGTTTGTTTTCTATGATGAAGTTTGGCATTTTGCTCTCCAAGATTATTCAGAAATGCCTTGTTGCCTTGGTAGACTCTTGAGTTAAAGAGAATAACAAGGCAGCCAAGAAAAAGTTCTCAGGAAACAGTGCAGTGATGTGCTGGATAGTGCTTTGATAAATGAACAAAGTAAGTCAAAGGAAGGAGGGTACCTGACTACCTAGGTTTGGCGCATACCTCAAACATCCATGGAGAAAGTGCTGGTGAACTGACTCTTGAGACAGCTGTCAAGGAGAATAGAAGCAGGGAGCCTCATAAGAAGACCTCAGACAACATGGCTTGTCTCCAGAACTAAAAAGTTATATCCTCCTAAGTAGAGAAGTCCTTTGCTAGGAGAAATTGTAAAACTAATATTGACCACAAATCTGTGACCAAATAGAAAATAAATGATAGATATTAACACACACTTAACAGAAAAAAAACATATAACCAATAAACATAAAAAGATACACTACATTTATTGGAGATGAGAAAAATGTGAAGCGAGACATGATAGATAATTTTACGTTAATCTGATTAGAAAAAATACAAAAAGCTCAGGAATGTGACATGTTAGAGAGAATTTGGGTCCTTAGGACTATGTACTTAAAAATTACTGTTAGGGGGCAGCGGGTGGTGCAGTGGCCAGGGCTCCCACATGGTTACTGTGGTTTAAGTCCTGAACCTAGTGGCTTGCCTTCTCACTTTCCCTCTGTCTCTCTCTTGTGTCTCTCTCTGACACACTTAACAGAAAAAAAAACATATAACCATAAACATAAAAAGATACACTACATTTATTGGAGATGAGAAAAATGTGAAGCGAGACATGATAGATAATTTTACGTTAATCTGATTAGAAAAAATACAAAAAGCTCAGGAATGTGACATGTTAGAGAGAATTTGGGTCCTTAGGACTATGTACTTAAAAATTACTGTTAGGGGGCAGCGGGTGGTGCAGTGGCCAGGGCTCCCACATGGTTACTGTGGTTTAAGTCCTGAACCTAGTGGCTTGCCTTCTCACTTTCCCTCTGTCTCTCTCTTGTGTCTCTCTCTGGTAAGTGCACATGTCTTATAGCAAATTAAAAAATAATAATAATAAATAAAATAAATAATTCTTTTAAAAATTACTGTTGGGAACTTAAGTGATGCAAACCATTTGGAAACAGGTCTCCATTTTCTCATATATTAATAATTGATCTGTATTCTATGACCTAGCAATTCCATTTCTAGGTTTATAGCAGATGCTCCTGTATATGCTTATCACTAGACATAAATACAAAAGTGTTCTCCGCTGCACTATTTACAAAAGAAAAACATAGATTCACACTACATGTGCATTGACAGTAGAGTGAATGGATAAACTGGTGTATTCATACAATGAAAAATTACACATATCAGTCAACATGAATAAATGACAGTGATGAACAATATTATAAGTGAATCTTATGATATCATATCAACTGTCAAAGCTAACCCCGATACGACTATGTAAAACATAATGCAATTTTTATGAAGCTAAAGACAACTAAATCAATAAAATAATTTTGGAGACTACGAATATCCTAGATGAAATTATAGTAAAAAAAAAAGCAAGGAACCAGAGTTGGTATTTACCAGCTCATGAAAGCCAATTGTACTGTCTTCTCACTCCAATTTCAGTGACACAGTTTCAACAGCTTGAAATCAGCCACAGTGGGAGTGTTTACACCATGAAAATCAGCAATTTTCCTCCAGAGAACTGATTGTCAGACATTTGCCAACACACCACTGGCAACAAATGATGATATTCCAAGTTTAGGATAGTGTTTAATGTGGGACTTGGGTGGAGAATGGCAGGAGTGAGATGGGAAAGAGCCACATGGTGAATTTTAAATTATGTCAAAGTCTACCTTGCATATTGTGTGTGTGTGTGTGTGTGTGTGTGTGTGTGTGTGTTTGGGGGGGGAGATGTTTCACAACAAGTACTTATTATATTTTGAAATAAATAAATAACCACATATTGATAAGCAATGCCTGTGTCTATAAACTATAGACTAAGATTAATCAAATCCTATGCATATGAAATCAAAATAGAGGGAAAAATACCAAATGAATGAAAGACTTAGAGTTCTCAAAAGGGGATAAAGAAGGGATTGTGTGGTGAGAACCAGGTAGTTGAACAGCAGTGACTCAACTTCTTAACTTCCTCATTCATGAACTCATCACTGAATCATCACACCCCCATTCACCGTCGTCAATATACCAATTGACAAACCTGGACACATACAATCCCTTTTCAATAGAGTAGAGGGCTTAGACACCAAATGAAAAAATGAGGACATGTAAATAGTAGCCTACCCTGATCAAAGTAGAACTGGGAGGAGTAAGATGGGAGGCAATCCAGCTGTGGTCATGCTGCCATGTTATATCAACATGGCCTTCATGTCCAACTCCATTACTGGTGATTAAATAACTTGCCTCCCATTTCAGTTACCTGCGATTGTGTTCATTATCAGGAAAACCAGGGACCCATCTTAGATAAAGCCTTCTATCCTGCCAGTATTTTTAGTCTGAAGAAGAGAGCTAGCAAAATACTTCTTACATATTCCACTGCTTCCTCCACCAATGGAACAGAAAAGATATGAGCATGTAAGACTCTGGCATGAAACCTAGGGAGGAAATATCAATAAAACATTTCTGTCTCATTGAGTCATTTATTTCCCTCCTCTGCATTAAGCATGAGGGTGTAGTATCCTACTGTCAGTTGGCATGGATGGGCACTGTGTTCAGACCTGTCTTTCCCATCCAGCTGACCACAGAGATACAGCCCACTGTCCATGTGTGTTACCTTAGGGGGGAATACAGAAGAGGACTGAATATAATCCAGTCCGAATTGGTGTTCTCTTCTCCTTAGACCGGGACCTGTCAAAATAAAATCCTATAACATTTCTTGCAAATTTTTCAGGGCATGAATTTTTGAATAGCACTTCTTCTTTTAAGTGTAACATTTCCTTTCCATGTTCTGATTCAATATTCTACTCTCTGGGCTATATGATATGTGAAACCATGCTGTTCTTGAGAGACAGTGATGGGTGAGGTGAGGCAAGAGATAGATTTTTGTCTCCCCATTCCCAACACACACACACACACACACACACACACACACACACACTCAATGAAGGCACTGTATTCCCCATAATGGAGATGTCATGAGGAGAATTTCAGAGGCTTTGAGAGATTCAGGCTTCTTTAAGTCCCCCATATCTTAGATAGACAATTTTGAGTAATTTTTTTCTTACTCTATACCCTTACAGATAAGAAATTTGCAAGGAGTGGGACAACTAGCACAATTATCCCATAAAAATAATTTCTTGAGCTGGTTTGTAGGAGTCTCATCCCAGTAGCTTCACAATCTCAGGTGTCTGACTCCCTCACGAGTTTCTACACTGCCCCGGTTTCCATTCTGAACTGCAAATACTTCTGATTTGACCAAGTGTCAGTATCTCAAGTATTCTAAGTATTTAAGTGCCACTCACATGTAAACTACTCTCTGGTACCATTTCTCTTAAAAAAAAATAGTTAAGTTTTTCTGTTTTATAGAACAAAAATGGATGATGACTAATTAGCTGCAGGCTACTTGATAAAATACTCCCTTGCAAGTCCAAAGTCCCTGATACCATACATATATTTAGTGATTATTCTCCTTTTAGAAAAATATTATTTTCCCTTAATATTTTGCCTCAAGATCTATGTGTACTATTCCAGAAACATTACTTTCTCCCTGTAAGAAAGAAGGGTTAAACAAATGCTTGAAAAGATTCTTTTAGAAGTCTTAATCTGGGAGGCCCACAAGTGATATGGTGGTTAAGGCACTGGATCCTTTCATGGTCAACTGCACAATTTGAATCCTAGATCTGGAAGCTTGTAAAACACACCAGGCATGGGTGTGCGCATGCCCATAATCTCGAGAGGAGGATGGAGTAGAAGGGATTGCAGTGTGGTCATTGCCCCTGAGTTGCAGGGTGACTTCCCATTTTCTCTCTCTTTCTGTCTCTCTCCAGCAAGTACACATGCCTCATAGCAAAAACAAAACAAGACCAAAAAATCTTAGTCTAGGGCTGGCTTCATAGCCTAGTGATTAAGTAAGCCAGATCCCGCATGGCTAACTCCAGTCTAAATCCCAGCTCCTACCACTTGAAAAGAAACCAGGGCACATGTGCATGGGTACCTAAACTCCCAACAGGATGAAAAATGGTGGAAAAAGGACTGCAGCATGAGCATACCTCACTGCAGGATTCTTCCTCTTCTTCTCACTCACTCTCTAATGAGTGTGTCTCTCTGATTAATGCATGTACTCCCTAGTAATGTAAAATAATTAAAAATCTTAGTCTAAATTATTTTTGAGTAGCCTATTTTCAGTCCTTATGAAAGAATAGAGGGGAGTATTTCATGTTGGGTAAATTCTTTATACAAGGCAAATGATATATAGTGATTGTTTAAAAAAATAATGAGAATAAATAAAAATCATCATCTGAAAAAAATGAAGGAAAGGATTTGATGATGATGGTGATGATGTGGTTAGTAATGTCTTTGTCTTGACTGACATGCGTGGTAATCATGCTGGAAAAAAGAAACGTAATACATTGTAAAGATATATGTAATTCATGGGACCAGCAGTTAGCATAATGGCTATGTTGCTGGACTCCCATGTAGTCAACCATGAAGCCAGTCCTGGACCTGGTGACTTAAACTCTCACTGGGAGCATGTGTGTGTGTGCCCAAGATCCTGAGGAGAATGGAGGAGAGTGGATTACACCGTGGCCATACCCCTGGGGGGTGATTTCTCACTTTCTGTCTCTCTGTTTCTCTCTGTCTTTCTGGTGAGTGCACGTGCCCTATAGCAAAAACTTCTCCAATAAAAGGAAAATAAAAAGATATATGTAATTCAATGTAATATAAAAAATTATGATAATAAATAAAACAAAATTAACTTAAAAAGAAAGGATAGAGACAATCCTGTAATCACCTCAAATAATTAATGAAAAAAAATTTTTTGGAGAGATTTTTGCTATAGGGCGCATGCACTCGCCAGACAGAGAGAGACATAGAGACAGAAAGTGAGAAATCACCCCCCAGGGGGGATGGTCATGCCTCAATCCCTTCTCCTCCATTCTCCTCTCAGGATCTTGGGCACGCACACACATGCACCCAGCGTGAGTTTAATCCACTGTGTCCGGGATGCGAACCGCAGTCAAATACGTGGGAGTCCAGCGATATAGCCATTACGCTAACTGCTGGTTCCCAATAATTAATGAAATTTTTATTAGATTTTTTTTTTTGGAGAGGTTTTTGCTATAGGGCACGTGTGCTCGCCAGCCAGAGACAGAGACAGAAAGCGAGAAATCACCCCCCAGGGGGGATGGTCATGCCACAATCCCTTCTCCTCCATTCTCCTCTCAGGATCTTGGGCACGCACACACATGCACCCAGCGTGAGTTTAATCCACTGTGTCCGGGATGCGAACCGCAGTCAAATACGTGGGAGTCCAGCGATATAGCCATTACACTAACTGCTGGTTCCCAATTTTTATTAGATTTTATCTTCATCAATTTTGCCTACTTCATAATTGTTCAAGAAAAAAATATTTATAGCATCCCATTTTTGAAGCCATTACTTTGGAAAAATTCCCTCTCACTGCAGAGGGCTGAAACCAAGGGAGGTAATAAATGAATGCTATTTAATTGCCTTGGATAGAAATCGAAAAACCAGTAGAATATTCTAAGATGGTTTTCAGTTTCTTGGTGATCTTCCATTTCACTGTTTAAAAGCAAAGTAAGCCTGATACTAGAGAAAAGAGCTCAACGCACTGTCTTAGATGTTACAGGGAATTCGTGGATGTTGGATGACTCCAAAGGGATGCAAGGCCATTAAATGCAACTTCAGGAGAGCAGAAAGCCATATCCGCTGTTCTGAGGCAATGGGAGCTTATCACTCTTCCAGAGCACAGGCCCCAGTGACCTCTCCCTCCTGTGTCTGTGTCTCTGTTAAGGATTCAAACCTACGGGAGAGAATACTTGGGAAACTATCTCTATCCTGGTATCCATCAGCCACGACCAGCGGATTGTGTGATCCCAGGTGCTGCTGCTTTAGATACAGGAAACCTCAGTACATTCTCAGACTAAGTTTCCCAGGGAAGGTTATGTTCAAAATGACATCCTAAAGATGGATTGGAGTTAGTGAAGCAAGACTGGAGATAATGAACTTAAGGGCGTTTAAGAAAGAAGAGCCAGTGCAAACTTTTTTAATCAGGAGAAAGAATCAGTGTGCTTAATGAATGAAAAGAAGTTAATGCAGGAGCAGAGAGGGGGAGAAGGGTGAATACAAGGTGAGATGGGGGAGAGGTAGAAAGACATAAGGCCATTGATGACCTATAAATCAGAGTAAATGATAAGGAATTTCACATGGAGTTTCAAAAGAGCCACTGAGGTCTTAAACATTTTAATTCTGTGGTGATCAGATTAGCGTGTGTGTTGGGTGTTTGTGTGTGTGTGTGTGTGTGTGTGTGTTTAATCATCCTGGCTACCATGTCAAGAGATAATGGACCATTTGGGGGAGGCAAAATTTTATCTTCCTTCTCTTAGGGTTTTTTAGCTGGGCCTGAGAATTAAACTGACATAAGACAGATTAACTGGAGAAAAGCACACAAATTTAATTAATACAAGGTAAATATCATATCACACGGGAGCCCTCAGAGGAAATGAAGACCCAAAGACATGGTTGGAGTGAACACTTACATGCTGAATGTGACAAAGAGGAGTCAATCATGAAAATGTGACAAGGCAAGGGAGCTCGAGGGCAGTTAACTGGGTGGAAAAGGGAATAAGAAGGTGAGGGTTAGTTTAGCAAGGTTTTTATGTAGAAGTCTCTCAACCTTGATGTCTCAACTTTGATACAAAAAGGTACTCTCTTTCTGATATAGGGAGGACATCTTCCACATGGGGGTTTATCTCTTTTCAGGACAAAAAAAAAGGTGGGGGAGAGGGAGGATCAGAGTACGTTTAGGTGTCTTCTGCTCAAAATAGTCCTATGTCAAAGCGGCTTACTTTGCTTGGTCGATTTTATGCCCCCTCAGTAGTGTGGACAGAGTCAATGCAGAGAAGATTTAGCCAATGCCACAGCCCAGGCAATCGATAGTGTAGCTCAGGTGATGACAGCGGTGATAGAAATATGGGGGAATGGAGGACTTAAAAGACATTTAGGAAATAAACCAGGGGCTTGATAGTTCGGTGGATATAAGAGGCAATAGACAGGGAGATTTGAGTATCACATCACACCCAGCTGCATCATGAGGACCGAGTGAGAATATTTACCTTGAGGTTTCACAGAAACCCACCTGGAAATATGTGGAACGCAGTTGAATGTGCGTGTCATGGAAAAGGGATGGGAATGAGAGGTAAACGTCTAGGACATTTAACATAACCAGAAAGATGAAAGTGAATACAATCCCTTCATGATAGGCTATACAGCAAAAAGTTGGAGGAGTTATAATAGTCACCTTGAATGGTGACTAGGAAGAGTTGAGCAGCCAAATTATACTGATTATCCATGGATCAATATTTTGACTGCATAATTTTGTGACTAATCATTGGTAACAGGTCTATAGAGTATGCCAGCAGGTTACCACTCTAAGCACTGCTTGAATCCTAATCCCATTTGTGAATACAAGATGCTTCAGCTACGGAGTATGACAACTGCCCACTCAACTGGGGAGACAAAAGACAGCGAGATCTGCAGGTTTCAGATGGATTTGCCTCTTTGGCCACTAGGGGGTGATGTAGGTCTTTCTGTTAAATTCTAGTGGCCTATAAAAGGCAACCACAGATCTTCACTTGAAAATAGATGCTTCAGATCATCAGGTGAGATCGTGTAAATTCTGATTGAATGAATGATTTGCAGATATCCTGAGAGGCCAACCGTTCCTTGAAAGCAGGATCAAAGCTCACATTTTGTAATCTATTCAGTATTTACCACACAGTCCTCTCCTGTAGTCCTATCTATATGTAACTGATCAATACATAAATGACACCAGCATCTTTAATCCACATTGTACCAAATTTGCAGCCAGTGGAACAAGAAACAAGAAATGTGAGAAAGATAAAGAAAGGAAAAAGAAGCAAGTATTGGCCAGTCACCGGCTTATTTACCAAGACCAAAAGAAATCTAAGAAGCATTGCATTAATAACAAAAGTAAGTAAATGTACTGCATTCGACATAACTGTAAAAAGTCAGTTTTATTTCCATATGCTTAGAAACAAAAGACATTTCTTAAAAAGAGAGCTGCTATGTGATTATGTAAGTGTGACAAAAGCCATGATTGGTATGAGCAAGTTTTATGATTCATTACTGAGATGGAAGGGAGGAGAGAGGAGAAGGCAAGTTTAAACAGAAAATAAGTGAATACTTGTAAGTAACTTTTTATTTATTTATTTATTTATTTATTTTTTGGAGAGGTTTTTTTGCTATAGGGCACGTGCGCTCACCAGACAGACAGAGAGACATAGAGACAGAAAGCGAGAAATCACCCCCTCCAGAGGGGATGGTCACGCCACAATCCCTTCTCCTCCATTCTCCTCTTGGGATCTTGGGCACTCATGCACATGTGCCCGGCGTTGAGTTTTAAGCCACCAGATCCGGGACGCGAACCACGGTCGACTACGTGGGAGTCCAGCGACATAGCCATTATGCTAATTTCTGGTTCCCGTGAATACTTGTAAGTAACTTTTTATTAAAAAAAAAGAAAGAGAGAAAATTGCAAAAGAGTCACAGGAGAAGAGAAAAACAGCAGACTGAAACACGCACTGTTTTCACCAGCTGAAACAAGCCTGGCCTCTCAGCTCCTACTAAGTGTTTTGTCCCATGTGTACAGCACCTATAGAGACTATGGGAAGTGATTGCATCATGAGGAGGAGGTTCCTCGGGAAGGATGAGGATGCCTTACAACAAAGGTCACCCGTCTCTGCTTTCTCCAAGCCAGCCATGTGCCTCGTGCTTCTCTTCTGTGTGGCCCTTTTTTTCTGGGGAGCAGGTAAGTTTCTCTTCTGAACTCATTGGATTCCAGTTTTAGGATTTTCTGCTGTAGCTGCCTCTAGCCAATTTCTACAGCTTCTGTCTCTTTCCTCCACAGGCTCTGTAGACGATGAGGTCACCCAGAGTCCTAGATTTCTGGTCAAAGAAAAAGAACAGAAAGCAAAGATGGACTGTGTCCCTAGAAAGGGACATAGTTATGTTTATTGGTATCGTAAGAAGCTGGAAGAAGAGCTCAAGTTTTTAGTGTACTTTCAGAATGATGAGCCTCTTGAAAAAACAGATGTAATCAACGAGCGAGTTTTAGCCCACTGCCCCAAAAACTCGTCCTGCAGTGTGGAAATCCAGTCCGCGGAGCTCGGGGACTCTGCACTGTATTTCTGTGCCAGCAGCCAGTCCACAGTGCTGAAGGTTAGCTTTTCTTAGAACACAAACTCGTGGACCCTGTTCAGGAAATAAGCAGCATATTAACTAGTTTGGTAGGAACTGACAGAAACTCAACTTGAAAGAGCACAGACCAGAAGGGGTTTATGACAGGTCTAGGTGAACAAAAAGGGGTGCTCGCAACAGCTGATGGGGACAGAAACCCAAAGAAAGGGAAAGAATAAAAAAGGAAGCTCCAGCTCCCAGTGGACAGGGTAGTAGGCAGGGTGTATATACCAGGGTTCATCCATGCTCTTTTTTTTAGTGAGATTTATGGAGTTCTAGTGATCTTTGTAAAAATAATACAAAATTCTGTGCTTTTCACCTGGTAAAGCTTTGCAGGAAGAAAAAATGATGAGCAGATCGCCGTGTCTTCCACATGGGCCCTGTTTGTCAGACCAGCATACGTCATTGAATCGGAAGCAGAGACCTCTCATAGGGGAGCCTGCAGTGGGAACTCAGCA